CGTTTCAAATAAACACCACCTGCCCTACTTTTGGTGAGGGCCTAAAGCGCTTTGTGCTGTTTTTATTTTTACAAACAGGCATACGAATAGCAATAGAAATCCTAATCTTGATTATTGTGTATTATTGACAAAGTATGCCTTGATTTTTCTCTGAAACTATTTGAAATAAAGGAAAATGGTGTTTTTATCATATTAGCTGATCATTGGCTCCAAAGTTGTCACCACTAGAATATACAGAACATCTGTAAAATTGATAACTGTATAAATTGGATCTAAGTAGGCCTTGATCTGTTCTGATACTATATGAAAGGTAGTAAAATGGTGATTATTTATATAGTAGCCAATTATTGATTCTAAGTGGCCACCAGATGGCTTGCTGGAAGATCTAGAACATCCGAAAAATTTATTGCTTCAAAATATTGCCTTGATGTTTCTCTGCATTTATATGCGAGGTGGGAAAATGGTGTTCGTTGATATATTAGCTGGTCATTGGCTCCGAGTGGTCACAAGATGACCAACCGAAAGCTCTGGAACAACCGTGAAATTGATTGCTGAATACATTTGATGTAGTAAAATGGTAATTTTTGATATACAGTAATATACGATGATACACGATTACGGAGCTCATCTCCGAATCAGAATTTTTTCTTCGAAAATTTTCACTAAACCGTTATTCCAAACGTTTATCATTTAACTTCAATGTCAGGGGTTTTGTAGAATATTAAAAAAGGGGGCTGACATAATTGTACCATTACTGTATTAGCTACTCGGAGAACATATCATATTAGAGGCAATTATTTTCCGGTCAAAATAACTATATTGTTCAATTGTTTTAGCTATAACTTGAAATTATAGTTTAGTGCGACGAGTTATAGAGCAAAACTGAACCACCTTGGTCAAACAACACTCGACTGAAAATGATGTCTGTAATAATTTGTCATTACAATGTTGTAGCTCAGACGAAATAATGCGGCTCTACGCATTTTTCAGGGTATAAACATTAAGCCTACACAATTAGAAAAATTCATGTAAATTTAGGTGATCTGAGAGTGATATATACGAGCGTCAATTTTGACATAAATTACAGACGCCACTTGATATTACATGAAATGTTTGTTTACGTTTCATTTTTTATGCCGAAGATGGATTCCGTCACGTTTAAAATTAGTTATTTCTAAGAGTGTAGATGTTATACAAAATTTCGTTGAATATCAAGACTCCAGTACAATTTCGAAAATCTTTGAGTCTGTTCATAAGCTACGTTAACAGTTTTTGAAAGGTTTAAGAACCCGTCGCTTTGAGTAGATAATCGTCCACAAACATATTTGGAAATTTGTATGGATTGTTGTAAGAACTTTTGGAACTTGTAAGTTACAAGAAGAAGTTGTCTAGTATTTATTTGAGACATATTATAATTTTACTTTACTTTACTCACAATTTAAGGATTGATAATTATTCACTCTTAACCTCTTTTTGTTCCTTACCAAGATGAATTATCATCAAAAAAACTAAGCGGCGCCGCTGGTGTAGTGGTAAGCGTGATTGCCTCTCACTTCAAAAGGCCTGGGTTCAATCAAAGTGAAAGAGGCCTGGATTTATCAGAGGCATACAATCTCTGAGCCGTTGATCCCCGTTCCATGAGTTTGATGGGTCGATACCTATCAGGTATGGGAGCTGCCTTCTTGGCGTCGGTAGCATTGGAACTCGAAGAAAGGTTCGATCAATGGCCTTTAGGTACGAAGAAAGACTGAAACAGTGGTCTTACAAAATAAGCACAAGTATATCTGTTACATTGAACTATGAAAAAGAAAACACATTTTTAAACAAGGTTTTCATGTCCTCATTTCCACACAGCAGGTTCCCGGTGGCCAATTTAACTGGAACCAGAAGACCATTTTTAAATGTCTTACCTTTAAAATGGGGTGTAAAAATTGCGTGTCGTTCTTTAGTTTCGTTAGGTACAACTACCTTAAACATAACCTAAAAATAATATTTCCATAATATATTGAAAGTCAGAATATTTCAGCCCGATCCGTTTAAAAATGAAAAAGAAATCGCACTTTGATGTTTACAAGCAGATGAGTGCACTGAGACTATTATTCCATCAAATTTATATAGTGGAAATGGATGTAATGTCGGCCTCATTGCCCCTAATTTGGGTCCATACACTGAAATGTATTTTCGTTATTTCTCTGAAAACCGTTTCGTAAAAATGAATATCGTACATACAACACATCTTTCATAAATCGTACGAAACATTCGATTTTCCTGTCATCTGGCGCAATGGCAATATTACGCTTTATTCGTATAATATACAAATTCATCTTCGTACAATTAAACCAACAACTGCGCTTATTGTCTCCTAAAGTGCTGATTGTGTGTTGGAGAAAGGATAATATTTTTTTTTTTTCGAAATATTGTCAGTTTGTCCAACACATGCAAGCTACCATTATAAATCAAAATACTGGTCACGGTGGTTGTATGTCAGAGGAAAAAAATACATGCAAGCAGCAGAAAAAGCAAACGAAATCGAATTACCGCTCCATGAGTACTTCTTATTTGCCTTTAGCCTTTCCCTTTCTCGTAGCACAGATAGAGCGATGTTTAAGGCACAGATCTGAATATCGCAAGATACATAGCACGAGTCTGGTCTGAACCATTGTTTATTTTGATTTTGTTATGTTTTTTTCTTCCAATGATGAAGTAATTTTTACCCATCCTACTAACACATTCCACATTTTTCGGTCTCCACAACCAACACTTGTGGCCCGCTGGTTGGGTGTAGCGATAGCCAGTGTGACAGTTCTAACGAAACTAGCTTCATACAATGTACAAATCCATTTCATTTCAGAAAACAACGAATAAATTCGTATAACAAACTCGAGCGATTTCGTTGTATAATCGAAATTTTATTTTCAGTGTACATTAATTCAGCAATCGACTAAATTTTCAAAAGCGACAAAAAATATCCATTAGTACCGTCTCAATGACGCGTTCATCTAGATAAAACTGATAAATAGCATTTTTAGCGATGGGCCCAATCTTAGATCCATAGGCCAATATTAGAGACATTTCCCCTATATAGGTATAGCATTGAAATTCTGTCTGTCTGTCTGTCTGACCCTTATACAGACCCGGAAACTACTGAACCGATCGGCATGAAAATTTGTATGCAGGGGTTTTTGGGGCTGGAAAAAGTTCTTATGATGGTTCAAGACCCCTCCCCCTCTGTAAAGGGAGGCTCCTATACAAATGAAACAAAAAAAAATAGCATGCTATTTTGAATCGGCGCATAAACTTAAGCTTATATTGAATCCCGAGGAGGCCGGGCACACTCAGCTAGTTTTATATAAATATCGTATGATTTCTTGCGACATAATTTTATGTTGAATCGATCAGTCTATGAAGAACTGTCAGATTTTTTCAACCAGTTTTTGTACAACGTGTACAGTAATTAATTTGAAAACAAACGAATGAGGGATATCATGGAATTCAACTATTAATTTCGTACGTCTTTTCGTTGTGTGGGAATTTAATGAGAAATACACTTTTAATTTATTGGTTGTAGGTATTTCATACAACGAACGTACAATTTCAAGAACATTTGACGGGTTGAAACGTTTGCTGCGATGGATTTCAATCCTGATGCAATGTAGCTGTAGTTTTGATGTTGAATAGGTTTAATAACACTACCATTTTGTCTGTAGTATTGGAATATTGTTCATTGCGCTTTCAGTAAGTCAAATTATAATGAAAGTACAAAATAGTCCGATGATGAATATTGACGTTTGCATTAAAAAAGTAGACATGAAAATATCTAGAAAAAAAAACAACGTTAAATAGAACCAAACGATTGCTTTTGCTTCTGTTTGTAAATGCGTTAATTGTTGCTTGAAAAATATAGTTCAAGCCGTATCTGGTAACTTTCAGACAGCTAGCTGGTAGTTTCAGCCTAAGACCTTAGCCATAGTGGTTGAACAAAATTTTGTTAGGATCGTTTTTAGCTCCTTCGTTGGCCTTTTTGGCCAATCTTTCCACGGTTTTGTTACAAAGTAATTTCAGGTAGATCACAAAGTAATTGCAGAAAGTCTTTGTTGTGATTTGAGCAGAAATTTTCAATAGGACGTAGTTGACAAACCATGGGTTTTACAAGTATCGAGCATTTAGATTTGTCATGCTTGTTGCGAAATTCTTGCAAATGAAACGATGCTTAGTTAGCTCAAAACACTGCATATTTTCCGCATGGTACTTCTATATAAACCGGGGCATTTATTACAAAATGTTGCTGCATCTCTCTAGACTTCAAAATGTGTGCATTTAACTAAAAATTTGCGCGGTTGTATTTTTCCTCCTACGAAACGGAATGAAATCAAAGTTTGATACAATTGATTCCAAAAAATAGGTTCGGAGTTTCTCCACTTTTTTGGACATAACTGCAGAAAAACAAATCGCTTTCGAAATTGGGCTGTAAACAATTACAAACAATTATAAATAAAAAACGCTAACCATATGCGTGGCAATTGTGGCAAAACAAAGACATAAGTTCAGGAATGCTAAGAATACAAATAATTATAAACCATTAGATTATTGTAAGAGAATTGACTGTCCCTTGATCCCGTTTCTCATATCACAGCTAGTATAATAAATTTGACAGATCTATGTCCTACTATACCAGTTGAAATGGGGTCGATTTTTGATGATCGTGTTCCACATATGAACCCTTTGCCAAAAATTTAACCCCCTCTTGAATAAACCTTACATAGGATTCCGCAAGCACAAGCATATGAGTGGCACGTGAGGAATGAAACCTCCATCCAACTTGTATCGCTACACTGGTACTGCATTTTTTATGCAAGGGTTTGTAAATCCTGTTCTTCCCTCGGGGAATCATTAAGGTATATGAATCCAATTAAAATGTTCCAACTAAATAAATACAGTCCATCCTTGTCTCCCAACACTGAATGAATGACTGTAGCTTAAACCATAGTAACTACACTTACTTTGTGTCCAGAATGATGCTCGTACCAAAGTGTCTCTCGTCTTGTTAACGACACGTCTTCTGGGGCGAACCGTAAGAGCGGAAACGTGTTAGCCACCGTTCGTAGTCCGAAATCATCTTTCGACACGTTACGGTCTCAATTTCCACAACACAAGCTATCTAGTTGGTGCCTCTCGTATTCATAAGTATCCAACATCCACATTTCCCATGCCTTATTCTACCGAAGCAACGTAAACAAATCCCCCGCTGTGTGGAAACCGTCGGCAACTGGCACGGCACTGGAGCCACTAATGGTTGGAATCTACAGCACCACGAATCCACTGAATAAGGACAACTGTCATTAATTACTGCCACACTCGACACGGCACTCCAAAATTAAAAACAAACTCGTGCCAAATGAACGCTTTCTACCTTGTCTGGCCTGATGCTTATATTACATCATGCCTACAATTTTCCCACCAATCGTTTTTACTGCTCCACTGGAACCACACTCAGGAGCGAGCTCCCTTCACAGCTTAACCCTTTGAGCTCTTCACTTCCAATTCACTGCTCACCGCCGTAAATCGGAGATCACAAATTCACTGAAATTTAATTCCAACGCAATTTTCAATCAACCTTTAAATTTCTTCCTCTCACATCCTCCGTAAACACACTTCCCCGCACCCGGATACCCCAGAATGCTGCCGCAACGACTTCAATCCGCCCCCCAATCGAGAGCTGCAGCTGTACAATATCGTTTCCCTATGCGCGCCGGACCCGTTAGTAGCGATTTTATTACGTACCGAGTTCAAAAACTTCGACACACGACCCACCGTCGTCGGGGATACGTCTCACTCGAGAAGCTCAACAATACTGACGTTGGCCAAGGTGGGCTGTCGATTCCAAGCAAGTCCTTCCTGCTTTCCACTGCGATTCGGGAGAAAGTTCACACCGGCGCAATGGCCATCCGCCGAAGACGAAGTACGGTTTCTCCTATCGCCAGGAAAACCGGTTCCGGAAAACTTCCAGCGAACCGGTTCGGTGCGACAGACCTTACCAATACCGATACACATCGAAGGGGTGGAAAAGCTTTTCCTCAGCTGACCTAGAGAGAGAGAGAGTGTTCATTCAGCGGATGAACGATGAAGTGCAAAATTGAGCGAAAAAATAAATGGAACGAGAGAGAGTCTGTCGAATCTACCGCAGGAGGGAAAATTGACCGAGGCATGGAAATTAGCGAGGAAATAAAAATAAACGTGCGGTTCATTAATTTTTGAATGTTGGCATAATTTAATGCTAACAGGTAGCGATTGGTTGAGCGAGCGGGCGCTGGGCGAGGGGGACTGTGCGTGATGAATGAGATTTTGACACTTGGTGGCTACTAAACCTCGCGATTGGGTGATCGGAGGGCGAACCACCGCACGTATTTGCACATAGAATAAATGTTGAATTAGTTGAATGTCAAATGAATCAAATAGGGGAAATGGATGTAATGTCGGCCTAAATGCCCCTAATTTGGGCCCATACATAAATTCAGCAATCGACTAAATTTTCCATAGCGACCAAAAATATCCATAAGTACCGTCCCAATGACGCGTTCATCTAGATAAAATTGATAAATAGCCGATCTTTAGCGATGGGCCCAATCTTGGATCCATAGGCCAACATTAGAGCCATTTCCCCTATAAATATAATGTGTAACTTCGTAAAGTGTAAAGTCGAATTTGCAATTAGTACCGTAATTGTGGTGTTGAATGTTGAATGTGTCCTGGATGGTCAATTATCGTCATGGAGTAGAAGTCCACCAGCTACATCACGGTCTGGCGATCCAAGCGAACAGTTTGGCAATGTCACCAAAGGATGAAATACGCTAACGAAGGTATCCCAACATGAACTGGTGACTTTGTGCCGACTGACATGGTAGAAGGCATTTATTTTAATTTTACTACCCTTAAGGGTATTTGTTTAGTAACCTGAACGTTTGTCCATGTGGTCTAAATGGTGCTTTCCCAAGCAGCATTCCAAAATTTATCTAGGTTCTAACCCATTCTTCTAGTCTATATCATGTCTAGTCTAAATCGATAACACTCAGTTTGCTGCTGTATTTGAAAAAGAAAGTGTGAATTCGCGTGAAAAGCAAATCTGGACGTTGCTCAGGTGAACGCTGGAAAACTTCATCATTGTAGTCTGGGGTCAAACCTATATCATGAAAATAAATGTTGCTCCATCAAGCTCACTGGATTCTAAATCAGGTTCGTTTTACGAGCATTTGGTTGTGATCTTAAGGGGGAGTCTAAAATATACAACAATCGCCCGAATAGCGCGGTTTCCATTAACTATGTTCTCGAGATAATACATTACCATGGGTGAACAATTTTAAGGGGAAGTTTACCACCCCAAAAAAATAATACGTTAAATTTTTCTAAAGATATTGGAAAAATATTTCGGAAATCTGGATAAAAGTGTTACGTTTAAAGAATATGTTTACATGAACTTCAATTATTCTCAAACAATACTCAGAAGATGCGCGGAAAATTGTTAGCGTGTAAGATAGTGTATAGAGTTTGCCACAGCAGTCACGCATCCACCCTGCGCACATCGATTGACAGCATATTTGACGGCTGGAACGAAACGAGAACGGAAATAAACGGCGACACACGCACACACAGAAACAAGCAAGCATTAACAGTCGAGCAGCAACGAGAAGGTTTTTCTTCTTTCTCCACTCGTGAATAGCGTCGCACGCAACTGTGTACGGGAGCCATTTTTGTGGAACGAGTGTCGGTGCACGTTGTGAATAGTGGTGGTTCCTGGTATCTTGGCACGGCCGTTACCCGTAGTGCCAGTGGAAAGCTGACGACAGAACCAGCTAGTAAAGAGCGGAGAAAGCACCTGCGATTCCGAAACAAATACCGATACATTCGATCGGCACGTGAGAAAGCGCCACGAACAACGACGCAATTTGCTTCATAAAACACAGACGGAACTCGCTAAGGGCGGTAGCCAGTGCAGATATCAAGCCCGAAGACGTTGCACGTAACACGCGTCGGAGAGATCAGATTCGATTGGCAACTGATAAAAACATCTCCAACTGCAGGAGGTGTTTTTCTTTGCTGGTCTAGTTTCTCCAAACAGAGCGTGCGGCAACATTCCGAGGGGATTCGCTGGGGGAAGTTTTCGTCTCCACACACGACGAATGGCATTGCGTGCATACGTCGAGAAGGATTGATCACGGCAAGTGGCAGCAGCGCTGCCTGACGAGCGTCATCCAAGCGGCGAGTTTGACTGTGGTTCGCTTCATCGTTACCGGTGGTAAGTGACGTACATGGTCAACTGCAGCCGAACGAGCGTCACCCAGGCGGAGGATTGGACGCAGAAGATCGAGAATCGGTGCGTAGGAGGATGGATGTGGCATTAGTCAATTGGGGCCCCGTAAGAAGAGTAGAAACCTAAATGTGAGTACATATGCCGTAAGAATAACATGATACAGACTAGAAAAGAACATTAGGGATGTGAGAGGTAGGAGTGTTTCGTATCAGACGTAAATTATAATGTTAAAATGACAATCTTGGTCTGAATATATGTTTTTTTTTCTTCCTAAATTTGGTTTGCGCCTTCTTTTATGGATTTGAGCGAAGAGTCTCATTACAAAAGTTATAATTTAAAAAAAAAAGCTGAAGAGTCTCTGCCTAAGTAAGACGGCAATCATTCATAGTTGTTCGAAAAAACACCAGTTGGTTCCTACAGTACCTGTGCTGAACACCGCTTGTGCGACAGCTCTTCAGCTTCAGCACAAGAAGAATGAAATGTGCTGCACGATTTAAAATGGTCTTTTACGTCTCTTTGGAAATGACAGTGTTGTCTCCCAATAGGCGTTGACGGTACCGTCGAAAAATCGTCTCTTCTAGCAAATATTGACAGTTTCTTATGATAATGTTTCACGCACAGTCTGACGTTTGCTTATGGATTTTACCATACGAGTAAAAAGCTACAGAGTCACCGGCAACGCCAATAGCGTTCTAAAATGCTTCTGCCAAATTGCATCCACCACCAGTCCCACCCAGCTCGTCAGTGAAGCAAGTCGCGGAGCTCAGTGATAACACTGAACAGAGGGAGAGGAAGAGTAACGGAATTTTTTTTTTTTTTTTTAACTCTTTATTTGTTCCAAATTCAAAATAAATTACATTTCATTTTTAACCTAGGTGCTCCAGTTACTACAGTAACTTACCAGCCTTAATTGTTATGATATATATCTAAGTGTTTTTACATTGTTCCTGTCTTGGCAATTCAGTATTTTAAACAGGTTTTTTAAACCTGCATGTCAGTATAACAATTGATAGCTTAAAACTAAATAACTAAAACTAAATCTTATCTAAGTATAAAGGGAATTAATCGTTGCAATTGAGGATTGTAACGATTTTTGCCGGAAATTATTAATTATTTTGTTGGACATTTGTGCTAAAGTCTCAACATTCGAAATTCTATGTACTTCGGTAGTACTGTACCAGGGAGGCAACTTCAAAATCATCTTCAGAATTTTGTTCTGAATCCTTTGAAGTGCTTTTTTCCTGGTAGTGCAACAACTAGACCATATTGGCACAGCGTAAAGCATGGCCGGTCTAAAAACTTGTTTAAATATTAGAAGTTTATTCGTCAGGCAAAGTTTGGATTTCCTGTTTATAAGAGGATACAAACATTTTATATATTTGTTACATTTGGCTTGAATGCCCTCAATGTGATCTTGAAAGTGAAAGTTAATTTTTGGTCAAGAACTAATCCAAGATATTTCACTTGGTTTGACCAGGAAATTGGAACTCCGTTCATAGTGACTATGTGACTACTACTAGGTTTCAAAAAGGAAGCCCTAGGCTTATGTGGAAATATTATAAGTTGAGTTTTGGAAGCGTTGGGAGAAATCTTCCATTTTTGTAAATAAGAAGAGAAAATATCTAAACTTTTCTGAAGTCTGCTGCAAATAACACGAAGACTTCTTCCTTTAGCGGAAATGCCTGTGTCATCAGCGAACAAAGATTTGTGGCAACCCTGAGGCAAATCAGGGAGGTCCGAAGTGAAAATGTTATACAATATAGGCCCAAGAATGCTACCCTGAGGAACTCCTGCTTTAACAGGTAGTCGATTAGATTTCGAATTTTGATAATTTACCTGCAGAGTTCTGTCAGTTAAATAATTTTGAACTAATTTCATAATGTAAAGTGGAAAATTAAACTTTTTCAATTTAGCAATCAAACCTTCATGCCAAACACTGTCGAATGCTTTTTCTATGTCTAGAAGAGCAACTCCAGTTGAGTGGCCTTCAGATTTGTTTGAACGATTTAAATTGGTAACTCTCAAGAGTTGATGAGTAGTTGAATGCCCATGGCGAAATCCAAACTGCTCATCTGCAAAAATTGAGTTCGTATTGATGTGAAGCATCATTCTATTCAAAATTATTTTTTCAAAAAGTTTACTTATTGAAGAAAGCAAACTTATTGGACGGTAGCTAGAAGCTTCAGCTGGATTTTTATCCGGCTTCAAAATTGGAACAACTTTTGCATTTTTCCATTTATCAGGAAAGTATGCCAAATGGAAACATCTGTTAAATAATTTTACCAAGAAAGACAAGGTACTCTCTGGGAGTTTTTTGATGAGGATATAGAAAATTCCATCATCACCTGGAGCTTTCATATTTTGAAATTTTTTAGTTATAGACCTTACTTCGTCCAAATCAGTCCCCCAGGAATCATCAAAAATATTTTCCCGAGAGAAAATATTCAGAAAATCACCAGCAACCTGATTCTCAATAGGACTAGTAAGACCCAAACAGAAATTATGGGA